AGACACACAATCTGATCAACTACGTCTCCTTCATCAACTACCTGTCATACGGTGTTACCATCGCAGGCCTGCTGTACTACCGCTGGAAGAAACCCAACTTGTACCGACCCATCAAGGTGAACCCAGCAGGCTTCTACCATCTGTTACCTGTTAACTGTTCATATCTGCAACTCGTCAGGTTTCACTGACTTCCCACCATGTACTTGCTGCCTTCTACAGGTGAACCTGCTGGTTCCTGTGTGCTACTTGATGTTCTGGGCAGTGCTGCTGGGATTCAGTCTTTACTCTGAGCCAGTGGTTTGCGGCGTTGGACTAGTCATCATGCTTACGGGTGTACCTGTCTACTTCCTGGGTGTGCATTGGAAAGAGAAACCAAAGTGTATCTATAACTTCATTGGTGAGTTTCTAAAGAAATTACTTTGTAGGGTTTCATTTGACTTGTTTTAATACAACTTGTGATTTTATCTTTCTGCAGAGAGGGCGACACATGTGGGCCAGAGGTTGTGTTTTGTGGTCTTTCCTCAGCTCGACCCCATCGAGCTCGCCAGTCCTCCAGAGTGGACTGACCGCTCATCAGGCAGGGGAAGCGTGTCTGTCAATTCTTAAAACTCTTATCTGGAAACAAAAAGATCTTCTGGGGGGTTTTTTTATCCTGTTTTTACTGATCATCAAACAAGTCCAGACACCTGTTCCAGTCATGGGAGCCTTCTGTCTGATTTTTGAACCTTTGAGACTCTGATTTTTGTTTTTCTAAAGTTGAGTGGATTGCCCGCTGTTCTGTGTGGGCTGCGTACAATTTTTTCTCTCCATCTACTTTTCTACTAAGTCTTCAAGTACACCATCCTAATGCCAACAGTTTCACGCCGTGAACGGACTTTTTATTTCCAATTTGGAACCATCTGTTCCTCCTTTGGTAACACGACAGAACAGTGACTGTCTCTGAATGTTGCTGGTTTTTTATTGTGCCTTCAGGTCTTTTCACACCAAGTTTTTCCTACAGTTGGAAAACTGCAAAAAAAACTTGCACATTGTTTGTTAAAGTCACTAAAAACAGCTCCATCCATGCCACCAGTGTGTCACGGGGCTCTTTTAAGATACACCAATAAAGAAGTGATACTGGAACAGCAGGCTAGATGCTTTAGATTTGGCTAGATTTAGAACCTAGGCTGAAGTCAAAGATAGCTGTTGTGATAAATTTTGTTTTTTTTGTCTGTCTTCTTGGATTTTTGCCCCATTTATTTTCATTTGCCTGAGCAAAACATTTCTTCAGACCAATCTAGTATCTGCTGATTAGTTCCCATGCATTAAAAATGAAGATTTTACATGTTTAAATGGGGAAATGATCCACATTTGGAGGCAGGAGGCGTTGGCAGTGGCATTAATCATTTCCTTGCTCACAGTTTGAGTCCTGGGAGAGATCTTTTTTTCCTTGCTGCTCTAATTAAGTGGACTGATTCTGCTTTTCCTTATTTGTAGTCATACATCTGCTGTGCTGGACGTTCATATGAAATATGACCAAAATTTGGGAATGGCACACATGGCTCTGTATGATGTCAGCAAGCACAGATATTCCTAATGTGGCCATCTTAGACCTAAACTCCACCCACTTTCTGTTCAAATCTTCTATTTTTTTGAGGGGCAGCCAATCAGAAAAAAGTTACTGTCTTGTTTCAGACAGTGAATGAAATGTGGGGCTTCATCAAGGCCGAGCACAAAATAAAGGATTATTTTACTCTAGAAGAGTCTTTGAATGTAAATATGGAGCTGCAACATTAATAATAACAGATTCTCGTTGTCCCAAGGAGTCACCACAGCAGATGGAGCTGCATATTTCCATTTGGTGAAGCTGCAGCCCCCCCATTAATCCTGGTTTGGGATTGGTATAATCTTAACCCTGTAGGTTTGTAGCTCCTCCTCCTGGTCTTGAATCAGGGAGCTTGTGTGTGTAAGACAAACGTTAAACCACCACATCAGCCCCCAAACTGTTACGTGTTAATCAGAATGAGTTACAGATTTTATTTTTTAAATAAATAGAAAAGTAACGTTAGGAAAGGACGACATTACAGACCGTGTGCAAGACGTCAGAGTAGGTGTTTAGTGAAGATTTCAGACTTGGTGTGAAAAGCTCTTTATTTGGTGAAATGTGTATAAAATGTGGTGTATTAACTGATTCACTGTTAGAGATTTTAATATATTTGTTTGTGCCTTTTTGCTTTGTTTGTTGCATAGATCGTCTGAGAATTACTTTGGTGTCCTGTTGACTGTTTCTGTGTCACTGTAAAAAGAAACCTGCTGTAAATAAACCAGACGGAGCACAAAGCACTGGCGCATCCAAAAGACCGAGGGCAAACTCAAGCTTAAAAAATGTTGCTAACAAACTAGTTGTGCTCACGTTACCTGCTGCTCTCATGGATGGATTACATGATGCTGTGACCGTGAGTGCATTCAGACATAGGATTTGTGTAATCCACAGCAGTCTAACACGCTGTGGCACTTTATGTTGTGCATGTAAAGTGTTGCTAATGCAGGATGTTACTGAGACAGAATTGGCCCTTCTTGCAGTCACGTCTGCTGGTCAGGTTGGAGCTGTACTGTTAGCAAAGCTTCTCACCTTTGCTAACAGTACAAAACCATCTTTCTTCAATTTCCTGCTCTGTGCAGTTTCTGATTATGCAACATGTTATTCTAAGAAACTGTGAACAAGACCCTCTTTCAGTTCTAAGGTTTTCTGGATTAGGACATAAAAAATCATCTGGTCTTTAGCAGGTTCTAAACATGTTACACTGTGTCAGCAGCATGAGGCCGCATGCAGAAACGGGCCTCATGCATTCAGCAGCTTCGAGAAGCTTCTTTAGCAGTAATAAGTTGCAGTGATGATTTCCTGTGTGACTTATCAGTCTCGCACATCACTGTGGAGGAGTTTTGGTTTCTTTGCCTCATTGAGGTTTGCAGCATTAAGCTCCTTGAGGACTGGACTTTGGACCGTTGCAGCACCTCGATGCTTTTCTTCTTCAGCCGTTCTGCTGCTTGGATCATCGTCCTGCTGATGACCCAGTTTGGTCCAAGCTTCGGCCTCACACTGACTCTAGAATACTTTGGTATACAGAGGAGTTTGTGGTCTAATCAGATCATCATCCCTCCACCACCATGCTGACAGCTGCTTAGTTCTGTAAATTATGGAGAGATATCTCCACTCAGGTCTCGTCTGTCCAAAGGACATTGTCTCGAGGTTTGTTCAATTTCAGCTTCATAAACCTGAGCCACGCTGCGATGCTGGAGGCTCTACTGAAGCCTGTAGAGTCAGAGATGGAGATCTTGATGGGGGGTTTTCCACCTCCAAACCAGCAAATTGCCACAATTTCAGCTTTTATAGAGGTTCTTACACCTCTGAGGATCATCTACTCAGGTGCATCTGATTAACTCACCTTTTAATTCCTATGGAAGCAGTGAGGATGGACTTTTTCACACACTGCTTCTGTGTTTTGGCCTCATTTGTTCAGTAAATGCTGACACAGTGTGATGTGTAATAATGTTCATCTGAAGCTGACCTAATTTTAAACCTTCTAAGGACCAGCTGAGTTTTTATGATGTCTACCCTAAAATTAAAAGAGAGTGTACTTTCTTTTTATGACTGTGTGTTTTTCTGTGTTTGCTCTCAAGCAGCTGTGCTGTTGGACAATAACAGTAAGAGGAAGCCTTAACATTTCTATGTGCACCCTTTTATTCATGTGTTTTTTGTTACACCATTTAGTATAATCCAGTACACTGTGCACTTAATGAGTCATAGTTATCCCAAATGATTTTTAATCCCTCAGGTTATGCCGATTTGCAGTGTAAAGCAGCAGGGATGAGAATTCACACCTCCAAGTCTGAGGCATGGTTGTTATCCAGACGCTGGGCTCTGTGCTGATGAGAAACTGCAGTATCTTGTGTGCTGTTCTTGAGTAAGAGGAGAGCAAGAGACTGACGCAGCCTCTGCAGTGATGCAGACGCCGCATCGCTCCGTTATGATGAAGAGCCACAACAGATCAATACAAGTCACAGAAGGACTAGAAATTACAAAATTAATATCATTTTTTATTGAATGAGACTTAAATCAGGAAGTCATCAGCAGCATGTTTGTTGCGGTCACAGAGAGAGGATGCTGAGGGCGGTTTTACCATAGACCCAACTTCAGATTGGCTATATAATAATAATAATAATGCATTTTATTTAAAAATAGCGCCTTTCAGAGCATCCAAGGACACTGTACAAATACACAATATACACAATAATAAGAGTAACAGATAAAAGTTAAAAGCATGCAAAGGTTTAAACATAAGCAATTTTAAACAGGTGAGTTTTGAGGGTGGACTTAAAAAGAGGGAATGAAGTATATCAGTAGAGGGGCCTAATTCTGTTCAAACAACAATAAAAAAAAAACCTCAAATCCACCTGTATTCACTTTGGAAATCATAGCTGGTGTCTCCACTCGTATTGATACACACATTTTCATGTTGTAAATTTCTTGTAAAGCATTCGGTGTTTACAGTGGGATCATCACACTGGATGTTAACTTGGATGTGTGTTACTGCACTTTGAGAAAATAACTATAAATAAATGCAGAATGAGGCAGACCTGGACTGATGGTGTCTGTCTTTCTGAGCTGTGCCGGCTGTGGATGCGTCACAGCTGCTGGGGGTGGAGCCAAGAAATTATGGGGCAGGTGATTAAAAGCGATTCTGGGTGGGGGAAAAAAATCTGATTTTATAAGATTAAAACGCAAGAGAAATTTTCAGAATAGAGAGCAGAGGGGCAAAAAAACAAAAAAGTTAAATATATTGATTAAATTTGTCATTTTTGTAATATTTTGTAATATTATATATTTCTGTTTCCTGGTTTTTTTTGCTGAATTTTATTTTTATTATTATTTTTATTTAAAATGAAAACTATGAATATAGATTCTGCTCTACTGAAGGTGTCGCGAAGATGAACGACGTGATGACGTAGATACCTAAACAGGAAGTTTAAACTGCAGCACGCTTTATTCTTCCCCACATGAGCACGAGAGCCGCTGTCGTCAGCACCTGAGAACAAATGCCGGTAAAGATTTGATTTAAACGTAGAGATAAAAACTTCTGTATGATCGCAGCTGTCGCTTCCGTACCAACGCCTGTTTTCAGCTCGTGACGGAAACACAGTTAAGCAATTAGCTAGAATGCTAACGTAGCTTGGCTAGCCGCTCTGCCAAACTCTGTGCACAAAAATTGCAATTAAAACGTTTATCGCTTGTTCGCTATCGGAAAGCTACCAGAGAGCATGAATCTAACTTTTCTACAATAAGCATCTCAATAAGATTAAATCGGCGCAGATAGTTAGCAGATAATTGAAAATATTCAAGTGAAATTCTAACTTTAGGTCTGATAATCTGACCAGGTTGTCGACCTGTAGGAGAAGCTAATTGATCCAAAGCAACACTTAAAGGTAGGAATGTTGTTATTTGTATTAATTTGTTTCAATGGTGTCAATTAATGCATTAAACATACTTCTTTCAGTTATATCCACTTGTGTTAGAACCAAAACCGCCTTAAATCAGCTGATTTTTTTAAGGGAGTTTTGTGTTGTTGTGAAAATGCGGCTAAACATGCCAGCACCTCTGGATAGTTGAAACCCAGCTGTTCAAGAGGAGGGTCTCTGACCGTTAGGTCCTGTGTGGTCTTGGCAGGACGACTGAGCCGCCACGATGGCAGCAGGCCGGCTGAGCTTCAATAACATCACCGCCCTGGCTCCCATGGTGCGAGTGGGGACTCTGCCCATGAGGCTGCTCGCTCTGGACTACGGAGCTGATGTGGTTTACTGTGAGGTGAGGACAGAGGCTGTATCCTTGGTGACCATATTTGGATTATCCCCTCTCTGTGACATCATACAGCGCAAAGAGTGGTGAAAAAATAAATAATAAATAAAATTATATTTATATAGCACCTTTCTAGAGACAGTCACAAAGTGCTGCACATAAGATAACACATAATAAAAGGGTAAAACAGACGATATAAAACAGGCACAAATTAACCAAAAACTGTTTTAAAAAGGTGAGTTGTGAGTTGTTTTTTAAAAAACAGCTACTGAGTCCACAGTTCTTAAGGTTTGGGGGGAGAGGACCACAGTCTCGGGGCCACAGTGGCAAAAGCTCCGTCACCCTTAGTTCTCATCTTAGCTTGTTTTATAGCAAGTAAGCCCTGATCAGATGACCTCAGGGACCTGCTGGGGACATTGGGCTGTAGCAGATCAGAGATGTAGGTGGTGCCAGTCCATGCAAGGCTCTAAATGTCAAGACCAGGATCTTAAAATGAACTCTAAATTCAACAGGAAGCCAGTGTAGCTGAAATAGCAACGGTGTCACATGAGAGTACTTTGTTAAAAGCCTAGCTTCAGCATTTTGCACAGCCTGCAGACGATCCAGAGAACCTTTGCTTAGACACATAAACAAAGAGTTACAATAGTCCAAGCGTGAGGAAATAAATGCATGTATAGCAATCTCCATTTCAGAGCGAGATAAAATAGGGCTTAAAGCCACATTTCTTAAATGAAAAACTGCTAAGACGGAGTGTTTACAGCAACCTGACAGAACTTGGGTCATGTGTTGACCACAAGAAGAGGGAAATGTATGATAAGAAATAAGTAAAATCCGAATAGTTCCCTTTGACCCTTTGGTGTCTGTTGCAGGAGCTGATTGACATCAAGATGGCCCAGTGTCACAGAGTGGTAAACGGTAAGAATCTGTGCC